GGCTGGGTCACCGGCCACGGTGGTACCGCGCAGGGGGCGGGCCCCTCACCGCCGCCGACGCCACTGCCCCAGTGCACCGTCACCGTCGGGCGCAGCTGCCGCTGCGGCTGCGCCCGCGTCTGCTGGGGCTGGAACAGAGGAAGCCGTAAGCTCGTGGACTAAGGCATGCTGTGACTGATAAGGGTACCAAAACCAACCTCGGCGGGCATCTGGCTGACGGGCATCTCCGGCTGCGGCCGGTGCCACGTGTGCCAGGCGGGCTGCTGCTGAACAAGGTCGTGGTGTTGGAGCTGCTGCTGAATCTGTCGCTGTTGCTGATGAATATGGTGCAGAAGTGGATTCGATGAGTATTGCATCGGTTGTGGCTGCATCCGAGCGTGTTCCCGCTGCTGCTGGTGCTGCTGCTGATGGTGATGATGCTGCAGCTGCTGCTGTGGCTGTGGCTGCTGCTGTTGATGTTGGTGATGCTGCTGTTGCCACTGTCCAAACTGCTGCCACTGCCGCAAAAGAACGATCTCGTTAAAAGTAGCCCTCCGTTTGCTGCGGGCTGTATTCTGGTTATGGTCAGGGTTACCTCCTGCTGTTGGCACGGCATGGCACAGCCGACCGCGGCCGCGGTGTGCTCGTTCCAGCCCGGCAGCGGCCGCGGCAGGGTGACGGGGGCGTGCGGCCAGTGCCAGGCCTCCGCCCCGCGCCCGACGGCGGTCCCGCGGCCCCTTCCGCGGCCGCGGGGGGGTCGCGTCGCACCCCGGCCTCGACCGCGGCCCCGCGGAACTGCGGCGTAATTGGCGCCCGGCGCGCCCTGGTCCTGCGAGAAGTGCACGATGCTGCCCCCGGCCCCGCACCTGGTCGTGATGGTGATGGGCTCGGGGTTCCTCCTGGAGGCCGGTGGCTCCGGGGCCAGCTCCGGCGGCTCAGGCGGCAAGAAGGTCCGGCCCGCCACGATGGTCATGACCTGTGCCCCGGCGGCGGCGGCGGTCCCAGGGGCGGCGGCACCGGCGCCGGCGGGGGCCCCGGCCCCAGCACCGTGAATGGCCCGCTGCAGCGGACTGTAGGCCGGCTGCAGCGGGGGCTGCGGCATGGGAGGGGTTTAGAGTGCGACTCGGAGACAAAGCCGACTGGAGACGCGGCTGGGTTTGCTCACTTTCTGGGGATGGTCGTAGTGATTGTGGTGGTGCTGCTGCTGCTGATATGAGGTGGTGGTGTCCGGGGAGGCGAGCTGCGTGTACTTCGGCGCCCTTGGCCGATGTGGGCCACGGATGATCACGGGTCGTCGGCTCGCGTGGCTGGAGACCTGCGCACACGACGTTAGGGTCAGGATCAAGGGGGGACGTAGTGCAAAATAAAACTTTTGGAGGGTGCTACGAGGTAGTGAAAAATGTGTTGAGAGTGAACAACCTGATCTTGCTCCACGATGATGTCGGCCTGGCCCTTGTCGGGAGACGGGGGCTCTGGCGGATCCGGGGCCTCGGGCAGGCTGGGGACCGCGTCGTCTCTGGTCTCGAGGTGATTGGCGTTCTGATCCAAGAGACAGCGCACGTTCTCCAGGGCGGGCATCCATTCGGAGTCCTTGGTGGACGCGGGGTTGAGCGCGAGGGCGGTGCGCTTTCGCGCCAGCGGGCCCCTCGGGAACTGCGCCAGCAGCTCCACCTCCGGGTAGAGCATGGGTTTCTGGACCACGGTCTCCTTTGGTGCGCCCGGGGTGCAGCTGAGATCGACCGAGTTTAATCACCACCTACGGGTGTGGGTACCTGCAGGAGCTGATCTTTCTACTACTTACTCCTCGTCCGGGAACATGTCACCGTAGTCCACCGGCAGAGCTGCGGTGGCGGCGCGCTGGTAGGGCGCCGGACTGGGGACCGGCGTGTTGAGCTCCGTCTTGCCGTCCTCGTAGATGTCCATCATGACGACCGAAGAGCCGCTCGACTCGAGCTCGCCGTCGAGCGGGGACGGCAGCGACAAACAGCCGCCAAAGGAAAGCAAAGTTATTTCGGCAGGCGACGCGCTTTCGGGACTCTTTCGTCGCGGCACGAAGTCCCTCTTCTTGAAGGGCCTGGCGCCCTGACAGCGGCACTGACCGCCGCTCCGCGCGTCACTCATCTAGGGGCGGCGAGGACGGTCCAACCCTCGGACCTCCCCACACCACTTGGACGACGGCCATCATTTCCGACTGCTCGATTAGTGTGTCGTAGAAGTTGTCGTCTTCTGAAAAGGAACGCAAAGAGGGCTCAGCAGGAAAGACTTATTGCACACCCGCGAAGGCGTGGCTTGTCCAAGCCCCGCCCTCATGCCCCCCATCCCCCCATGCCCCCCTCTATCCAGCGCGCACAGCCGCCTGCGTGGTTTGTTGAGAGCCACGCACGCCCCCATGCAGTCTCCTACTACGTATTCAGCACCTGGAAACATAAGATGACTGTCCGTGCACGGAAAAAAATAAGTAAGTTAAGCCAACTAAATGTTAGCTGCCTTAGCTTTTATGTTTGCTAATATCGTGACAAGCAAGTTTTTTGACTACCACAGCGAAACGTTTGCTGTCACAGCGACGTATCAGCTGTGAGAGCTAATGCTTTACCTGCAGGAGCAAATGCAATGTCTGCTTCAGTTGATTGGGGATAATCTACCAGAACGAGCACTAAACCTAATCCAGATATGCATTAGCTGCCCTAACTAATTCTTGCACACAGGAGTCAATTATTAGCTACGGTAGCTTAAAAGTTGCTTGTCACGATATCAGCAGACATATCAGCTATGCGAACTTACATATTTTTTTCCGTGTGTGTAAAAGCGAGGGGGTGCCAACTCGAAGGAACCGTACACAGTTCAAAGAAAATAAAAAAAAAAAACTTTACAACACAAAGAAATGCACAGAAGTACGCCCTATTACAAATAAAAATGACAAGGAACATACAAGGAAAATACATGAAATACACGCGAAACGTACAAAAAAATACACGAGTTGGCCCCACCCGATGTAAAGGGGGATTCGTGGTTTACAGTGTAAGGCTCTGGAAGGGCGTCGGATTGGACGAAATTGTGGGTAAAGGAACGTGTGTGCGGGAGGAAAACAAGGTATTTACCTGCTCAATTAAGATTACATTACATTCAAATACACTCTAGATTTGCGCATACAGTATACATTTATGTCAATGGGGTCAATGGCCCCACCCCGCCATTGACTGTGGTGGTCAACCATCGTCGCTTCTCGTGAAAATAGTTTTTGCCTCTGGCCGTTTTCCAAGCGCATCACAACGCAAGACAAAAAGTGTCACGAAAGCCTAAGCCTTGACCACTTCAATGTCCTTTTTTGAATACATGGTAATTTTTTCGTCTCAGCCTAACTTTGGGAGAGGAGTGCCGTGTAGGGGGAGCTCTAGCTTGGCGCTGTGCTTGGCGTGACCCCCTTGCTTGGGGTATCATCCAGAAAGTACCGGGTGTATCAGAGCGGACGCTGTAGTGTTGCGGGTTTGTCTCCTCCTAGGTGTACACGTGCAACTGTTCAACTAGGTAAGCACTTGCTAAGTGTGCAGCTTTTCGGCTGAGCACTTACTTAGGCTAAGTGTCGAATGTTCCCTCTACTGCACTATCTACTGACTGTTTGCACTGTGACTAAACTAAACTTAGCTAAGCTAAACTAAACACGCCATTTCGGCTCATGAACGAGTGAGCCGAACCTCTTCCCATTATTCCGCCTATACCCAAGGACCACTTCATTGGTGACGAGGAAATCACCTTCTTGACGGGAGAATCACACGTCTGAAACCTGAAACTATTGGGCTGAGTTTCGTGTTAAATGTTACTTACTTCTTACTCTTACTTGTGAATATACTTAGGGCCTTTTCAAACATAACAGCTTCTTACATGTAAAATATTTCTCACTTCTTACTTGTGAATATCATGATTATATATTTGCCTATTTTATTTCCTAGTTTTGCTGTTCTCTATAGTGCACTATTCTCTACTGACTAATTGTACCGGGTGTAACTGAGAATGCGCAACAGTGTTAAGGGATTGCATACCCGCCAGGGCTGCAGGGGCCATGGCGCCTAACGGGCTAACTGGGTAGGCAAACCCGCAACACTGTTGCGCATTCTCAGTTACACCCGGTACTGTGACTCAACTATACCAAAGCCCAGCTATGCGCTGGCTTCTGCTATCACGTCAGTTCGGATCATAAACCAATGAACTAAACCTCTCCATGATACCTAAAGACCACTTCACTTAAAATAGAATAGATGAGCCCCACTGTGTGGGTGGGAAGTACTCAACTGAGGAGTTGCACTCTTGCAAGTGATCAGCTACCGAGTTGAACAGTTGCAAGCGTACACCTGTGGAGTTGACTACTTGTAGGTATTCAACTTGTATTTGTTGGCTTACAAGTGTTTAGCAGTTGCATACTTGGTTTATAAGCGAAGCGCCTTATAGATAGGCAACATCTTGCCTGCAGTGCATGCGTGTTCTGCGGTGTGGCCTACCCTGAGTCTCGCAGGCGCCGAGCTGCAGTACTGTACTTTTCGAATGAATCTGAGAAAAAGTGAGTACTTTCTGAACGATCCATATGGTCACAATTAAACTGTAAGGGAGCAGACGCACATGTCGAAAGGAAAGAAACACCTGGCCAGTAGAGGAATGAACCCTCACTGTTACTGTTAACTGTTAACTCTGTGACGTCCTTTCAGTGCCAAATATTGACATTCATTCGAAGGATGACATAGGATTTACAGTGATCCCCCCAATGATAATTTCCCTCGAGACTAAATGTATTATCGGGTGTTTCGGCAGAGGCGAGAGACCACAGTGTTGCGGGTTTGCCTACGCCCGAGGCGAGCAGCTGCGTTGGTGGCTCACCCTAGACCACCAGCACAGCTGCGCAACCCCTCTCACAGGTCTCTCAAACAAATCGCCTGCTGAAAGAACATCCACACTAAACCCTTATGCATTTTACTGTGTATAATCATGCACAACACAATGCACAAGGATTTAGTGTGTACGCAAATACGCGGGCTTAGCTGCTTATCTTACAGCACAGTGAACCCCACTCTGTTACCAGCAGTACATGCAGCATGCAACTTGAAAAATTGAGTCAGTTTGGGATGGTTAAAAAAAATCACACCTCGTTTTTTCGGTTTTGCACAGAGGCGAAGGGGGTGATAAATTTTTTTGATCGGACTTTACAGGGGTGGAAAAGTTTGTTCTTTACCAGTAGTTTCAAGATCAGCCGGAAAAAGTACTGTGTATGACCCTCGTTTAGGCGCTAGACGCCTCGCAAAAAATCGTAAAATGATAAAATTCACAAAACGACTAAAAGTCCCGAAAATGTGGTTTTGGTCAGCTCGCAGGGACCCGTCAATGTATTTTTTGGATACCTTGTGATATTTCTCTCAGGAAACAGCAATATAAACCGTAGCACTTTTTAAAAAGTGATTTTAAGACGGATATTCTAGTTTCAAAATGCATGAAAATTGACAAAATTTGAAACTTCAACATTCGTCTCAAAGTCCCTCTAGGTTTCTGTACCCATGACTCTTAGTAACCGATAACCCATTTTCATCCACGCATCACCTTAAATGAGTTTGGAAAAAATAACCTTGTAAACTCAGGACACCAAAGCTCTACGGTAAGTGAGTTAGAGGTAACGCATGGGTTTGACACAAAACAAGCCCAAAAGATAAAACGCCAGTAAAACTAGTTTCACGAGGAAAGTGTCGCCATCACCACCTCCAAATATAATGCTTGCATCGCGGCTTTACTTACCATCAGCTGAGTGTCGGAGGAGCTGCTAGTACCTGGGAGGCCCTTCGAGCCCCGGTGCTACTGGCAGCACCCTTAACGCACTGTTCGCCCAGATCGCCAACATTTTTGGAAAGCTGGGCGACCACGGCGTTAAGAGTGAGCTCTGGACCGCGGCGGCGCACTTGCGCAGGTGCTGCTGATCCAGTCAACGCGTTCATCGCAGCTATTATTGAGGACACGGCCGCCCTCACGTCAAAGGCGAACCGACAGTCCAGCATACCTTAAGGTTCCTCCACACCCAGGCGTATTCGGTGTCCGCGTGGAAGAAACCGGCTTAAGATACCCAGAAAAATTTAAGTCTCTACCACATCTCCCTTGTAGAGACTTTAAATTTTCAGGGCATCTTAACGTCGAACTGGACGTGCTGCGATGCTGCGCCAAGGGCTAGCGGGGGGGGGGGGGAAGCACGTTAGTGACCGCGGAGGGTATGGTGCACCACCCCACACCAGCGACATACTGCTCGGAAAGGGAAAAGCGACAATTCCAACCTTCGCCCCTTCCGCGCAGTGGGACGCTGGTGCGGTAGCATGTGACGGCGGTGACGGCGGCTCCTCTCCCGCCCTCACCCGTGGTGGCGGTGGTGGCGGTGGACCTTCGACGTGTCTAAATCGGATGTGAGGCCCAACGAGGACGAGGACTGCCGTCTATTCGCTATATTGTGATTTAGCTACATCATAGCGCATAGGAGCGGAGTCTTCGTCCTCAAGTGCTATTCTGACGTCGAGCCGACGATGGCGTGGACACCAGCTGGTGCCACTACGCTGCTGGTGACCAACTAGCCCCCCCCCCCTTTCGGTTCGCTTTTGTCCGTGGGTCAGTGGCACCAGTGAGGCGGCAAAGGCCGACGGCAGAGGGCAATTCTTTCCGCACATATTGGTATTGGTGCAACGAACATACGAATCTGAAATGGAATCAATCAAAAGATAGGGAAATTACAAACACACAAATTTTCACAAAATGCAACGAAAATCCTCGCGGAAAACATTTTGAAAACTCTTGCAAACAGATACTGCCACTCCGAATTTTTGATGGCTGTACAAGGTAAGGTTTGGAAGGCAGCCGTCCTAACTGTTCATCTCGAAGCTCACGAAGTCCGCAACCCGTGCGCTACCCCTTACGAGCTCTATCCCTCCTCTCCATTCTGGGGGTAGCACAGCTCGTAGGGGGAAGTGCAGGGATTCAAGTCGGTGCCGAAACGACTTGGTCAAGAAGGCAGCATGCACGGGCGGGGTGCTGTGGTGAGGGCAGCGCAGCAAGTGGGCTGGGCAGGGCTGTTTTTCCACAACGACTAAAGTTTGGCGTCAGTGCCTAAGTGACGAGAACAGCTTGAGCGACTACGCCAAAACTAAAGTAGGAGTGGTGCACCACAGCCGTGGCTTCGGCACCACGCGGCCCGTGGTCCTGGAGCTACACTGTATGGAAAAAATACAGTGTTTCGGATGTTGCTTTACCTGCGTGGTAGGTACATACTGGGCCATACT